CTCAAGCAAACTCTTGGTGGCTTTCGAAGTGCGTTCCAAGAATTAAGGCACCTTCACCACAGGCTCACAGGCCTCTGTGAAGCAGATCGTAGACCTTTATTGGATTCTCCTCTATGGGCCAGTCACAAGTGATCAAGAGTTTCTTTAATCTGACGCCGTCATATATCTTTCCTTCCTCGAAAGGTGACAGATCTTCTTTCCCAGCTTTCGACTGAATCGCACCTTTGCTTGAAGGAGTGATCTGAACAATACTGAAGAAGAGTACCAATGAGACGTTCCGTAGGCGCCACCTTCCGTTGGTGAGAATGTGGTTGTTTTTATGAGTCGTCCCGTTGGGCGACTCCCATGTCCACCCCGGTGTTCCTTTTTCAAGAAGATGGAGTTGAAATGAAAACGCCGTGCGGGTGATCAGAACCCAGCAAGACGCTTATCATTTTCATTCCGGTCCTGATCCAAATCTCCCAATCTTATGCTCCCTTTCCTCTGGCATCCCGGTTTTCGCATTGAAGTCAGCCAGAACGAATTATGGAAGATTTTTTTGTGGATGACTTCCTTCTAAGCCTCATAAAAAGCATCCAGTTCCGAGATATCTGTGTCGGAGAATAACAGTTAATACTTATAGTTTTCTGCTGCTGAGGATGGAGTCGAATAACAGGTGATAGAGTCTCATGCGAATCGACAAAATGCAACAGATGAATGTACGGCAAATCCGACTCCAACGTTCCGTGATAAAACTTTCTCACCACGAATGATGAACATGCCATCACTTAGCTGCGTCACGTCCGTCTTCTTAGAGTTTGTTTTCTGCCAAGGCGATTATGCAGTAGTTGATGCGCCCTGCAGCTCCAGAAGGGGAAATCGGCGTTGATGGAGACTCTCCTGGCGTTGTAGTTGCAAAGCGAGGTGTCCATACCGATTCGTTGATTCCTTTAATGCGAGATCCATGGCGTCCTGTGCAACCTGATACTGATCTTGATGACATCCAACGTCGGAGATATGATCCAGTGTGCAGAGCTTCTTTCCTTTTACATGCTGTGCAAGCAATAAAACTAATTCCCCAAACTTAGCAACCATGTCAAGGCCCG